GATAACACCCCAGCTGATAGATAGGGCCCTGGATGGAGAAGCCTAATGTGCTCCCTACAGAGCTGCAGAGTCATGTATGCTTCTGGGAAAAGCTTTAAAGCACTGTAAGGAAGTTAGAAAACATGGCAAATATTTTGAAGGAAATGCCTCACTGAATCTGCTCAGATCTACCTGGGTTTTATTCGAAGTAAACGAATAAAATCTCAGGTTTCATTCACTTTAGCTCTTAACATATCATTTGAGTGCCCTTGTTCAGTTGGCTGATAATTAGAAGTCTATGCTTTGCTTTACACAGACTGTCACTCTGTATTACCCTCAGGGGTGCACCGCACAATGAGGACAACAAAAGGACTTCCCCTCCACCAGGACATATTTATCTAGCTGCTCCCTCCTTTCAGCAGCCGCAGCAGAAAAATAACACACAATTCCTCTGATGTCAAGCCCAATTCCATCCGACTGCATTGAAGCATTCATTTCAGCCTTTTTGGGTTTTTCACCGTCTGCAGAACCTAAATGCTTTCAATGTGCAACAGGTTTGTCTGACTGAAGCCATCATTAACATACAGTGTCTGCAGCCTTTAAGCTGCTGCCACTGCCTTATGCAACTGCTGGGATATTTATCACACTGTAGAAAGGTTGGATGAGATGTGGGTGGAGGGGTGTTGCCTTTGGTCAATCGGATTACAAGCAGTTCCCAGAGGTCACTCTTCTTTGCAGCATGTAGTGGGTCTAAGTGCTTCTTGCTGCATGGCACTTCAATATACAATCAATAATTATGATGCCGTTGTCAGGACGATGACTGATGAGACTAAGGGGATTGTACTCTGGGCAACTTTAGCTGCACATTCAGGGCGGGCGTGTCACAGGTTACTGAAGGTGCAGATATTTAGAGATACTGGATATAAAAGCTTAAGGCCCGTATTGCTGCTCCTGTTGAATCCTGATCTGAGGCTTTAGTGTTCATGGGTCAGTTCTGTGGTCTGATCTATTGTTAATGACGGAGGAGGAAGCAGAAGGGAAAGGAAGGGTGGTGAGGCTTTTTAGAGGAAGCAAAAGGAGGGACAGGACATTCTGACCCTTTTGGTCTCCTGTCCATCAGTCTGCATCCTCCACGGCTGACCCTCAAGGTCTCCGTTTTAACCCTAAGCCCCACACACCCAATATTCAGCCCAGCAGAAGAACTCTGCCTATTTATAGCAGCAACCACAGGCCTTGAGAAGCAGAAAGCAGGAGGAGGAGTTCACTCTGTGGATGCAGAAACTCTGACTTGTAAACAGCACACTGGAGTCTAGTTGCTTCAGAATGCATTTTAGAGCATGCACTTATATTAATGTTTATGTTCACTTGGTTTACTTTTCCAGTCAGAGACACCAAGTCTGCTGCTTCATAAATAATAATAATTTAAAAAACACATGGCTTCTTCAGACCCACAGTCCAAAAAAGTTCAACTCCCTTTTGCCTCCAGTTTTTAAAATGTATGTTATAAGAGTAAAATAAAATATGTGAGATTTAGCACAGTACTGTTTATCTCATCTTGTTTCACAAGAGTTCAAATACAAAGAAAATCCATAAGGATGAGGATTCATGGGTGATGCTGAGAAACTAGTCCATGCATTTGTTACTTCAAGTCTGGACTTTTGTAATTCTTTACTATCAGGAAGTCCACAAACTGTAAAAAGCTGCAGACAGAGTTCTGATGAAAATTAAAAAGAGAGATCAT